CTCTTCAACAACGAGCACTTATCCTTCAGTTCTTCCAACGAGATCTTATGCTCCACATTTTCAATTTTAGTCGATTCACTGTACAAAGTGGACCTCATTCCAAGTGAATGGTAACTTTCTGCCTCATTTCCAACTTGACCGACTTGAAACATCACGTCTTCTTACTAAAACTTACGGATGTCCTTCTGGAAGTTAGCCACTAGTTCTTGTGACGGAGAAAAGTTGTATGGTTTTGTAGATCCATGATGAGTATGTGGGTATTGTGATCAAATGACGATTAATTACTAAAACCAAGTCATTAGCCAAAAGTACCCAGTGAATTAGAACTATAGGGTAAAACAACCGAAAAACAAAAAAAAGTTACTACTTGCTAGCATACACATACATATACAAAAATGTTTGTTTTAAAGTAGACATGATTAAACATCATTAAAAAAATTTCTACTATGTAGATTTCGTAGAATGCTCATGAGCCTATAAAATTAAAACCAGAAAATTAAAGTTGATTGTTGCCTTGTATTTCTAGATGGTTTTTATAAAAAATTTGGATTTTTTGAAGTTGGTTTTCACTACAAGCAGATATTATTCCTTTCTGTGAAACCTAACTATCTATGCTTTCTTCTCATTTGATGTCCTGGGCGTGAATCCCATACTAGAACGCAACAAATTTTCTATTTATTTGGGTTTTCAATGAAAATGGCCTCACATTAGACGAGATCCTTGTGAATGGTACCCAAATGAATTAAGGATTGGATTTATCATCTTAAACTTCATTCTTATATAACATTATTGACTGCTTCCAGTGAGTTTTTAGAATAGTAATTTGGAAATCATTTATTTTCATTAGAATTACTTGTATTTAGTTCCTGATCAGAGAGTTTTTATAATAATAGTTATGGCAATTTGTAGATCTGTATTTTTACTGTTCATTTACATCACTACGGGATTGGCTTATGTGTTCGCTTTATTTAGGGATATCCTGAACACTTTATTCTCCAGCGCATTTTCATCTAACCACAACTAATATCCTTAGACATTGGTTAGCGTTGTCTGTAGTGACGACTTAATCAATCTACATTGACTGGAATATTTATTTTCAAATCAATGAAAACTGTGGCCTGTAAAGAAGATTGTGTCTTCATTGATTTTGATAACCAGAGTGTTTTTGACGATTATTTCATATAACTGCTTGTTAAACGCTTTTTGTCTTAATCTCAATTTTACTTACGGATACTCGACCTCGATAACAATACTCGTTTATTCGAATTGATACCTTTTTTCTTTTCAAATATTCAAAAAGTTTAGATTGATATTATTCACGTAATTAGTCGTGAAGTCAGACAGTTAACTTCTCACTAACTCTCTTCTTCCTCCGTCTTTGATGTTTGTATTTACCAATCAATAAATGGCTTACATACAAAAATGAATAATCACATGTCCCATAATCTCACAGTAATATACGTCTAGGGTTTTACGACTTTCGTGTTTTTAGTAGTAGAGTCCTTTTCCAGAGCATAGATCCCCTAGATCAATAAATATTTGGATCTTAGAAATTTAATTATTACCTTTTATTCTAAAACTCATTCGCTTATCCACCAAGGTATACGTATGTAAATCGATTTTGTTTTTAAGGAAATACTCAAATGAATCAGATTTTGTCATTAATTACTCAATTTACATAAAGTGATCAGTCCGAGTTACTCATTCTACTTGAAACCTATCAAATGTGACAGTCAAAATCTATAATCCTTAGATCATGTCGTATCATGCTTAGTGGAAGTGGAGCTATATCGCTCAACTTTAAATCATTGTTTTATATCCGAAAACCATATTGTCTGGTTCATTTAGGACAACTGGTTAATATATTTAACTCTCAGATCACATAAGTCTTTACTTAAAAAAGATTTTATTTATTTACTGTTTACATGTGATGAAAGTTCGAATCGTTTATTTTAAAAAGATAACACAGACATCACTGTACGACATTACAAATTTATTAAGTTGGTTCTATAATCCAATGATTAACAAACTTAAGGTAATTATGAAGTCACCGAAGTGAATAAATGAAATCCTAAATTATTTTTATTCATGCAAATATTGTTTGTGAATAGATAAATTATTCACTGACTATTAGGAAATATTTCATTTGTACATATTATTACTGTATTTTACCAAAACACAATCATTTTCCTAATCAGTTGTATGCAGAAGTTTACACTAAATCTGAGATTTTACATGTATTCAATAAACAAGCCATTATCACCTATTAATTAATATTCGAAAGAAACCTAGAAACTTGAACCCTCTTCAGTTAACATGATTCTATGATACAAAAGTAATACCTATCGAATCAAATAACAAAGAAGTGAGAAACTTCAGTAACATACTGATTTTTAGTAATACTGTTATTTAAGTCAGTTCATTGAAACAGTTTGGATCTATGTTAAAGTTTTAAAAAAGAAAAAAACTTACGGATAAACCACATATGAATAATAATTTGTCTTTTCTATTTAAGTGAATGATAGATAATGGAACATGTAAGATAAATCTAATATCAAGATTAATTTGAATATACTTTTACTTAACAATAACAATGATTGTATAATGAATAGGTTAACATGTTTTCTATGTCTGTGTATGTATATGTTACTGAATATTATGTTATGATGAATCATTACTATAAGAGTCGAATTCCGCGCTCTAACTCTCTCTTTATGCATATATATATTTCAGCAAAAATCTACTAAGATTGTTTGTTAATTTTCATGTTTTTAACAAGATGGGAGATAGGATGATCACTGATAATAGTGAATCACATATATCCATAATCAAAAGATCTATTACAAAGATAATAACCGATCTTACTGACTTACTATTCCTTATCTCTCTCTCTCTATATATATATGTGTGTGTTTTATGTATTGCGTATACTTTTGCTGTATTATTAACTGAACACTTTGAAACAGTCTTCTTTATTACATGTATATAAAATATCAAATCTATCATGTTACACATGCCAACTATAATAGTTATATTGATAATTATTTCATTAAATGAAACATTATGACGATTTACTACTGATCATATTTCTTGTTGATTTGTATATCATAAAAATAAATTCATGTTAAAAGTAAGAATATTAGATTAATAAAAGTAATGTACATTGAAAAGTGATACAAGATTTGTCATAAACAGTTAAAACATAAAGTTATTCTCAAATATAATATCTACAATTGGAGTATAGTCATAGATACATTAGTCATAATAACAAAAGATTCAATAATAACATTGTGAATATCTTACAAGAATGAAGATTTCTACATGTAATTTATTGATTTATTTTTAATTAACTGATTATTTCAAATAAATGATTCTAGAAATGTGTGGTTACGTCACAGTTAGATTTTGTTTGTCATAACTAGCTAGTAAACTATTTCACTGATTGAAATCAGGAGTCATTTGAAGCTAAACCACCATGAAGAACCTGGAAGCATTGGACGACCGTCTCGTCCTAGTATGGGACTCCTCAGTAGTGAGCATCCATGATTCTTCACTCCGCGAGACTCGAACCCAGGACCACTGAGCTGGCATTCAACGGTGTTAATGTCTAACTTCAACCACTCCACGAACTATTTGTTTAGAAAGAATATTTATTGAAATAATTAAATATGAAAATTGTGCTATATATTTAGAGATATACAGAACAAAAATACAGACAATTCAGTCAAGAAATTGACACAATTCTCAGTTAAGAAAAAAAAATTATTCGTTGAAATCTGCTTGAAATCGTTGTTGGTGTTGAGTGCAGCAAGATTTGTTACAAGAATGGAAACATTGAACTTGGTTTTTTGTCAGCTGGTACAGGTCAACAGTATGTATTTGTAATCTCGTAGGGACTGATATTCTTCGAGTATTTCGGAACTGTATCATCCAGTGTGTCGATTGATAGAATATAACTAACACTAGAAACTAGAGAACATGACAGTTTTCAACTCGAATTAATCAGGCAGAATATATACACCATCTGTGTCTGAGTTTATTAAATTCCAGGGAATTCAATATGGTTGCTATTTCGTCATTAATTTCAATTGTTAATGATGATAATTACAATTCAACCATATTGACCGAGGTTCTTCTTATAGTTACGTGTTTCAAACTATATGTTTATCTGAAATATTTAACACCTTAAAGCTTATTGTTGACAAAATGACATTTAAATATAATACATCAGTTTTTAAAAAAAAAGTCCAAGTTATTTACTATCATTACACTTTGAGTCACTCGAGATATCAGATTGTTTACTGTACACAGAGTTCTACCAAGTAACATTCTGCTATATTATATATATATATCCCGACCGTTGTTGCTACCTTGACGTGGTGGTCGGGCTTGCCTATCGTGATGAAGCAACCGAGCTATACTGGCTGGAACAACCGTTCCTCAAGGTCCTACCATGTCAGACAGGTCGGTTGAAGAGCGGTAAGACTAAAAGCAACAAACCCAAGGTCCGAAGGCGAAGTCGTACTGCTGACTGTACAGAGGTGTGACAGCAGTAAGGTGTTTCCTTCAGACAACCAGCATGACAGCGATGCTGCCTTCCCACAAGGAGGGGTGGGGTTAGAAAAGGTCGAATCTAAAAATGCACACCTCGCCTTATCCCACGGATATCCGTCTCCGGCGGTAAGGTCTCAATAAGTACGGAGCTAACACAAAAATTACCCATAATAAGGTCGTGTGTGACCGACCTCAAGCAGTTGTCCCTTGGGCACTGCGGTCACGCTCTCAGGTCACTAAGACCACCTTTAATCCAAATTCCTTTTCAGGTACCTCCAGAAGAACCCTTCCACGGTGTGGGCAACCGGGAAGTGAAAACCGCCCTCATACCTCTAACAGCACTCATATATATATATATATATATATATATATATATATATATATATATATATATATAATCATTCCATCATTCAAAATTAAACCTATTCTATATTACATAACTTTAGGTCTTGTTATTGTGAATTACAAAAAAATGAACACATTTCACATAGTGAAATCGATTCTTTGAATCATTATCAAACTAGAGAAGTTAATGGATGTCTCCCTCATAAAGTATGTGGTTGTACAGCAAATTATCCGTCAATTTGTGAAATTCACTCTACAGATATAAATACAGAGAAGTCGAGAAAGATTACAACAGATTATTCAATTCAGTCAACAAAAATTTGTGATTTTCCAGAATATTTAGTACCGGAAAAAAGTAACCAAAACTCGAATGCATTTATTGAAGGTGAGTTGGGTTTATTTTTTGGAGATTTAGATTATATTTAGAAAAATTATAGTTACATTAAATACAGTCAAATCTCAGAAATGTTATAAGCTTGTATTATGTGGAAATATTTTTAAGTAAAAATAGTGAATAAATTATTCATTCACTAAGCCTTTTTACGGTCAACTTTTAACTGAAATAAACAGAACTAATATCACTAATGGTTAAATGACTCAAAATCTTATTTTAACTGGGTAATTTATAGAGGTTGTTAGGTTAGACTACAAGTCGCGAGGCTATTTAACAGATTCAAGTGAATTCTAACCGTATTTCAATGAATTGGCAATATTTTTTTAATGACCGAATGCTATACAACTAACCAACTAAACGATAATGGGTTTTTTTCGAAAAAGGATTAATTAAAATGAAGTGAATTATTTATATTACTCACTTAGTGTACAATTTAGTAGTGTTCTTATTAATATCTTCGTTTGTTTAGTATCTGAGAGTTGAATACATTGTAAGTGCAATGGGAAAACATAGATGTCATAAAACATTCGACATAATCTTTCAGTAATACGCTGCTCAAATGAGGAAAAATAGTATTAACATTAGTAATGTGTATTGGAATTTTCAGAAGTACTAGCTTATAACACCGTGAAGAGTTTGACTTAGATATCATAAGTTATAAAGTGACTGAATTAGTCATAGGCTATATTCAACAACCTAAAGCGAATTTTCAACAAATATTATTGGTCATCATGATTAAGATGTCACCTCCCCCGACTTGAATTAAAAACCATGACTGCTAAGACCACAAAACCACTTAATATTTCTAGAAGAAAACTCTCAGCGCACATTAATTCACTTGAATTTTCAAATGTCGTTCGGTAACACTTTGAATAATGTAATTGAATGAACTAGATATTATCTATGGAAATTGAAAGTTTTGCTATTAATCACAAAAAACCTTGGTTACAGACTACTAAGAAAACACATGAATTTGTTAAGCATTTAAATAAGTCTTACTGTTAAATTCACTTGGTGTTGTTTACTTGAATCTTCCCATTAATGTTTACGACTACAATTGATCAGTCTCTTGCTGGATTATGTTCATACTGTACGTATTGCCTCAACATTACCTTAATTCACCAGCATTATAGGCAACGATGGATGGTGGCTACCATTAGAATCCAGGACGCGCGTTTCGTCCTATATGGGACTAGTCAGCTAGATGTACCTGCATCTCAGAGTTGATATCCACTCTGGGACTTGAACGCAGTACCGTCCCAAATAGATTGAAATGCGCGTCCTGTATTCCATTACTAGCCAATATTCATCTCTGCTTATATTTCTTATTGTTAGTTTAAATGATATCAGAATTACTAATCAGAACAAAATTTCAAAATAGGTCAGATAATTTAATCAGTCTTTCAAATGATTTTACTTTTAATTAATTTAACTGGATATTGAAAATTATTTAACTATCGTTTCATTTTTAATATAACAACGAAAATAGGTAGCTATCAGAATTCAATAGCTAAGTGAATAACGCGATAGTGTTTGAAGCAAACGGTATTGGGATTCGATTCCCTGAGTGAACATCAACTTTGAAATGTAGGTACATCCAGCTAACAAGTCCTAAATAGAACAAAACGCGCGTCCTAGATTCAACTACTAACCATTATCCATCTTTACTTGGAAATGAGAATCACCATTTATAACACATACTACAAAAGATCATATCAATTTAGATTTTTCCAAACATCAAATCTTTCCAGAAGAGGAAAGTTAATTTCTATATTCATCATATATGTATATATAATCTACCTATTTCCTTTTTAAACTGTAGATACCAAGAATTCAAGTTGGTTTACTTTTTCTCCATTTCTATCAATGAATCCTAAATTAGATAATACATATAATGAATCATTTTCTAAATGGTCATTAAATAATTTTACAACAATATCAAACAATGAATTATCATCATCATCATCATTATCATTATCAAAAACTTGTACAGAACATTGTTTAACTAATAATGAACTTCAATTAGATACAAATTCATTTGAATCTAACACAAAATCATCATCTAATTCTTTATTATCATTTAATGATCTTAATGAAATTAAAATAAATGAGAAAAAATTATTGAAACCTTGTCAAACAAATTTATTAAATGATCATTTAATAGAGAGATCATTAATGGAAAAGTCATCATTATCATTAATGAATAATCATGAAAATAATATAATAATAATGGAAATTTAATGGCGGCTGCTTCTGCAGCTTTAGCTAATCTACATCGTCGAGGTTCTTTACAATTGTGGCAATTTTTAATTGCTTTATTAGATGATAAAGAAAGTCAACATTTAATATGTTGGACAGGAAGAACATTAGAATTTAAATTGAATGATCCTGAAGAGGTAAATTTTGACAATATACATGTTAGGTAATTTTCATTTGAATTAATTTAGAATACACATCTACCATCTTATAATTAATGGAATAGATGATATACTAAGGAAAATGTTTTTAATTCAAGATATAAATACTTTAATGCATATGATAATGTTTGAGACATTAATTTCAATGAGATGCAAGCGATCATTTTCAATTAAAATTCGAACTATAAGTTGATAGATATAGGTTAATGTGTAGTATTGATCTCTGATAAGCCGATTCAGTGTTTTATCATCTAAGCTAAAAAAAAATATGAATAATGATCAGACAGTAATTTTACTTTTAAATAATTACCATTTATTCCTCTAACTGGTAAGTTTGATTCAGTTCATTACTATTCAGTATAACTGTACGAATGTAATCCGGTATGTATACTTTATTTGATCCCACTAAGTATAAATCTCAAGGTAAAACTAACAGCAGTAAAATACATAAAGTTAGATCAACTACATATACATTAGTCAAACTGTATATACCTATCAAGATGATAAAACAGATACCAAGAAGATATAGTTCACGTGTACAATACAATGAATCATCATTTTAATAAAAATACTTTTAGAATATACACACGAAGAACTTTTATTTATAATTTTTTTGGTAGAAAAAATATAACATAAATTACTTCCAAAAGGCATTTTACCATTGAATTTCATGCTTAAACATGTTCAAAAGGAAAAGTTTATTAGAACTTTTTTTCTGTTTATCAAAACATTTCCTCAGTTTTAAGATAATAATAATAATCAAATTTTTATACCCTGGATGATGGAGAGAGAGAGGGAAAGAATGAGGGGGGGGGAGGAACACAAATCTTTTCCGTAGATATGTTAAATGACAATGACCTGTAGTAATTTTGATCATTTTATTATTACATTCTGATATGAAAATTCATAATTAATATGATAACATTAAGCTTATTTTCTATAATTAATTAGTGGTATAATGACTTACTGCATGTTTATGATCAATATAATCTCGTTACACAAACCAGTGATCTAGTTTCAATTGACTCATGATCTCAACTATTGAAATTACTACAATCTACACAAAACCCCTTCTGATACTACTAAACTAAATAACTGGTAAATAAATTATTATATTCCTAAGCTGAATAAAGAAATGAGTTTTTATTTGATTACAATTTTTAGTACAGAAATTTAAGAGACATAGTTGCAGAAAATCATAAGAAATTAATCCAAGTATGTTTATATCTGTTGTTGACGTGTTCCAGAAATATAAATCTGAAACTTAGTGGAATTTTCACTGAGAGATAAGATAAACATAGTATTTAAATTATAATCCATTTCGTACTGTAAATTAGGTCTCATTTTTCGATGTTAATCGAGGTCTAATAATCAACAGGTTATTGATGAATATCAGGATACTAAACATATAAATTTTTGAATTTGACATGGGTATCTTTAACTAAACAGTGACATATAGGTTTCGAAAATCAAAATATTCTTAGCTTTAATATTTATTAACTCTAAATGTCAATAAGAGGTTTATAAGGAATTTTGAGTGAGAGTTTAAAATCAATGACATTTTAGAATGCATCATATTTTTATAAAAGAATATTCGTTCATTCGACAGCTTTAACTGAGCTTCTGATAAGTTAAACATGTACTTAAACAAGTAGATCTTAATTAGTAAGCACTTTATAGTCACTAAAAAAACACACACAAGTTTTTGGATTTCCTTCATCATCATTAGCAGCATAAAGAAGCCTCTTAGAAATTCATAATTTCTAATTATTATCCAAATAATTTTGAATTCTAAAACTATTTTCATATAAATCGTCAGTTTATTAATAAAACTACCGATATTTTAGTTATTGTCCTTCATAATTATCAAAGTCTAGCTATGGATTTCGTAAAAAACTAATGAATCCTTTCCTCTTCTTTAAAACAAGGTTGCTCGTTTATGGGGTATTCAGAAGAATCGCCCTGCCATGAATTACGATAAACTGAGTAGATCTTTAAGGTACTACTACGAAAAAGGTATAATGCAGAAAGTGTCTGGTGAAAGATATGTTTATCGATTTGTTTATGAACCAGAACTGTTATTTTCTCTAGCATTTCCTGGTGAAGAGCACTCAAACCAACAACTTATTAGCTCTATGACGACAACCAAAACTAATACAGATGATAAATTATCTGATCAATTGAAACAACTTTCGGATAATTCTATAAATACACCAGATAAACTTGGTACATCCAATAGTCACTTTTGTATTGCTTCAAATCATTTCAATAATCGGCTGACTGGCAATAATACAGAATATATACCTATTAGTAAAGAAAAATTTGGAGTTAAACGTAAGTATAATGATATATTGAAAGGAGGAAATGAAAATAATCATTATGAAAAAAACCATGAAATTCCCATTTCTACTGTAGTTACAAATGTTAATGACAATCAACAAGTTCAGTTACCTGATAAGTATGGATGTGGTAGTGTATTCTTAAATGATGAAGGGATGTGTTCTAAACAGAATGTAAACAATAACAACATTATCACACCAAATCAACACTATAATGAAAATAGCAAAGATTTCTTAATGTATGTATATGAAAGTCAAAATAATCTCACAGATAAATTAAGTGACAACAGTAATTGGCCTAAAACAGACAGTTTATTGCAAACAAATTCCGTATCTGCAATCAATGAATCTTTAGCATCTCATATTGACTGGTTCGATAATCTTACAATACAAAAAGAACAAGAACAACAACTACCAATGTTACATTGTACAAATTCTGAAAACAATCACACAATGAATTATTCATCAAATTTTTCAAATTATCATCAATATGATTTAGAACATTATTTATTATCATCGCCTAATATATACGATGAAATTGATATTTGGTCGGATAAACAAGACTATTATTTATCTGAAGTGTTAAATGAAACATATAATAAAGAACAAGAGAAATTATTATCATCATCGTCATCATCATCATCACCAGCACTTTCATCACAACCGCCATTATCTTCATCATCTTTTATTTCATCATTGAATGATCGTAATAGTATACTGTCAACTCCACCATCTGTAACAGTTAATTTACAAAATATTTATGAAATTAATTATGGATTATTAACAACTAATGAAAAATTACCATATCATCCATTTTAAATATTGATTTCATTATTCAAGATTAAATTCTCCGCTTTTTTTCCTCTTGCTCTCTCTGTTCCTTTAAACAATCATTAAATCATAAATGAATTCATTTTTCTCTTAGAACATTATGTATAAGTTCATTAATGATAAGAATTTGTTTTAATTCTTTACCTGTTTCATTTGTTTTAATAATAAGTGGTAGCTATTGGCGACACTATTCTTAATATTGTGTAATGATGTTGTCATTTGAATATGTTTGTAATATTTTATTTTCATTATACTATTCAAATGGTTTCTTTAAAGGTATATTTGTTATTGTTGCTGTCGTTGTTATTATTATTATTATCGTTGTTGTTTAACAGAACTATACAATGACTAAGATATAATAGTATACAATCTATTCAAAATAAAATACTGTGATTAATTGTACAACATTATTCAGTTCATATTATTTTGAATGCATATACCTTCACTAATAATTATTGGTTGATTTGAAGAAATATGCATCATTGTTTATTGAGTGTTTTCTCATGTACAAAACTTGTTAATAGATTATTTTGAAGAGAAAAAAAAACACATTTTTGTAATATATAAATAAATATATTTAAGAAATAAACGTTTTTCTTTAGAGTATTATCAAATGCCCTAGTACGGCCAAGAGTGGGGAGAGTCCGCTCTTCCTCTCGAAATGCTCTCACATGGCCACGCGTATCTAGCCTCTGCCAGGAAAGTTTTACTCACTGCCTTCTCGTGGCAGAGGTGTTGTTTACGAAATTGAGAGGACGAGAAGCGAATGTCCGGCGCTTTAATCGGGTTGGTGGACATGGAGAGTCCACCTAGGGAGTTGGAAAACCCTGATTCAAACCAATGATACACATGGGCTCCAGTATCCTGAAGGAACAAATGGGGTGCGAATAAATCGTTGGTCACCGGCTTCCATGGGACTGTATCTCCTTACGATGCCCCACTGCCTTGTGGATCAGACCTTCAGGTCGAAGGCCCCGGGTGTGGCCCCCTAAGAAAACCACCTGCATCGGTTTGGGCACCCGGGCAGTATCACAGCCCTCACACATATCAAATGAAATTTGTGTGGCGCATATGTATTTGGTGCCTCCTTGTACCAATATCTGTGTTAAAATAAACAAAAATAAATAAATCTAGGATGAAACTATAATCTATGGGGAACCTTTGAGTGACGCTAGAAAGACCTTGAGAGTGTTCACCCCATCACTAAGATCAAAAGAAGGTTATAAACTTGTGTGAGGAATTTGAATTATGATTTACAGTTGATGATTAAGGTTAGAAATTATATTTAGGGTTTTCATCACCAACTGACATCAGCTAAAATGCCAAAACTCTATTTAGCCAAATTGATGAGTGAATTTCGCGCTAAAATCTGAGACCTGTGATCGTATACCTGATTGGTTTGTAAGTAGTGGTATATTCTATTATTCAGTTGTATTATTTTCGCTCTGATTTGATTCATAAACCAAGTGCTTGAATATTAAATGGTATTTTATTCAGTATTGTATTATATAAGTCAGTTAATGGTAAGCTTAAAATAAAAATGAAATAAACTTTATGGGCAAGAAAATATCAAATTAAATGTATCAATCTCAAATGGAATAGTTAGTATCATTAAGAGTATCATGTGTGCTACTGATGTTGACAGGTATAAGTAGTATGTATCATCAATCGAAAGTGCAATGCCTGGCGGCAGACCGTTAAAAAGATCGAAGGAAAGAGAACAAGTACAGAGAATGATTGGTGTAGAAAAGAAGGAATAATCAAATCTGAGACGATTGATTAACATTTTTCAAATAAAGTATTTACTCTATGGTTCTCAGATTTTACTGAGATGTTCTATAATTTTGTATTCAAATGCATTTGATTGTCCCCACTTGTGTCCTCGTTCACTAAAATAGAAGTTTTAATAGTGCATTACTGAGATAATATTGAATTATATTGAATAAAAAATTCAAATCCATGTAAGCTTCTTCATAGTTCTCGGTTTACATCATCAATAGCCATTATCAAGTATAAGATCAAGATGTGAACCCCCCTCTAAGATTCTTTCAAATACAACATATCATATTAGTGTCTTCAACTTATTACTTTTTAGATCGGCTTGAAATACTTTGAAATGATTAGTTATCTCTCCTTAATATCTTTGATAACTCAAAATAGAGGAATAACTTATTCATTTTCACGTAAAAGTTAATTCTGTAGACGATGACTAGGTATATGGTTGAAGTGGTTGATAACCAGGATGAGGATAAGATCAAAATACAACTATAGTAAACAAATAACTAGATGATTTCCTGGAGTTGAAGTTCAAAAAAATTTTTTAACTAATTTTGTGTTTGGTTTACCATTCTGATTCTATCCTTTAGACTGTCAATTCACATGTCCAAACAATGATAGTCCAACCCTTAGTTTCTAGTTGTTTTTTACTTTTTTAGCCAGTGTTCCAATAGAATTACTTCCTACCAGGAATTTAGTAGAGAATAATATTGACTAACCGAAAATACAATTCATTCTCCTATTACATAATCAACAATGAAATTAAAAAAACAAGTAATGCATAAGTACTTTATATAACATTTAAAATATAAAGTTAGTAAGGTTGGCTCATAGAAATAGTATTAACAGAAATACTAACTAAATGTTTACTGGTTAGAAAATAGTGTAAAGTTACGGTAAATTACTAAGCTTATAAATTGGATTACTTTGACATAATCCGTTAGACATTGATGTAAGAATAAGTTTTCTATACTCATTAATTTACATCAGAAGAAATTTTTCAGCATTAAAATTATTTTCCATAAAATATAAGTATATGATGTCTATTAATCGCATAACCTATACAGGTGCGTTTATAAAAAGTTTACGACCTATCGCCATACAAGTTACAAAAGAGTACAATCAGAGACATCGTGGTGGTTGGAAATTAAACATATGTCGATTTCCGAGCTGTTAAATTCTAACTGCCGATCACTAATTGGCAAGGCAGACTATCTTCAATTCATACTAAGTCAAAACATGTGTTGTAATTGCGGTGTAATCACAATTCAAGAATCTTGGTTAAATGATTTACAAGACGGTTGCTTAGTATCACTACAATATTTCAATGTCTACCGTCAGGATTGGTCAAACAATAAGAAAAATTGTGGCGGCGGTGTAGCTACATTTGTAAACATGGACTGGTGTTGATTTACTTTTGCAAGTGTTAAGTCTTCAAACGACTATAACGACTGTTTAACTTCAAGATACCGTTCAAAACACTTGAATAAACACAATTATGTTTGTGTTACCAACAACTACGGGACTTTGGGCTGCATATCATCTGCACTATCTGTTTTCGCTAATGAATTCACTGATTTCTCCGTTACTGCCTTCAGTGGTTCACTTTCAGTTATGTGTGGTGATTTTAATTAATGTGACTGTAACTTTCTTTCATCATTAGTTTACTAGAATACAGTAGATTTTCCCATTCGTTTGGGTGCAAATTTAGACTTAATTCTCATTATTGATGTGGGAACATATGTAACTCGTAAACTTGCTCCATTGTCTAGTTCTGATCATTGTATTATTCGTGTTCTACCTAAAGTATATGGCAAGCTTGTAAAGAGTATACACTTACATCAGACAAAGAAAGTCAAATATAGGAATTACTCAGAAGAAAATATCTAAAATCTGAAAAATATGTTTCGTACGAATAACTGGAGATTATTTACAGATGACTGATTGGGAAACGCTGTTGATGTTACCACTTGGTATCTTAGATTCTATTTTAATATTTGTTGTCCCAATGGAAACCACTTTTTTAAAGTTTTGATCTCCACAACTAAAACAACTACGGAAGGTAAAATAAAGAATGTACAATTAGAAAAACTTATTGAAGTTCGAAAGCTAAATAGTCTAATAAACCTAGAGATTAGATGTCTCATCTCAATGTTTACTCAGAAACTTTTATCTTGTAAAAATCCTTCAAGTATGTAGAAACTATTTAAAGAACTTACAGGTGAAAGACATATTAGAAGCGATAACTAGCTGAATGTTTGTGACTTAAATAAGTTTTGTGTGCGTCAGTCATCTGATTTCATGCTCGCTATATATACAGGTTTGAAGAATAGAAGTATTCCAATTATCATTGAAACTGATGTCCGAAAATGTCTACAGCCACTTAACTCGTCGCAATGTTTAGGACCTGATGAAATCCCAAACCTTGTTTTAAAATTTTTTTTGACGTTCTGTGTTATTCGTTCACGAGTATCTTTAACAGATTTTTCTCAACTAATCTCATACCGAAAATATGGAGAAAGATAAAGATAATTCCTATACCTAAGGAAGTATCTGGTGATAAGAGTGTGAAATTTAGACTGAAAGCAGTAACTTCGCATTTTCTCAAGACAATGGAAAAAATTGTTGTTACTCCCACTTCAACCTGCACCAAAAGAACACATTGATCCGTATAAGTTTACTTACAAATGCAAAGAAGAACCTTAGATGTTGTTGCTGTTCTGCATCACAATATAGTGTTCAGCTTGGAAAAGGGTAAGAAGTATATCCTATGAGCTTTTATGGACTGTACTTCTGCTTTTAATTCTATCCCAAGACAACATTTACTTAACAAGTTAACCAGTGTCAACACTGACAGCTGGATAACCAATTGGTTACGCCCCTACCTCACTGGAAGAGAACAGTATATTGTGTTTGGAGGAAAGTGTTCGATTTCTCTACTGTCTCGTGAAGGTGTGCCACAAGGAGTTGCTGTTTCCTCTTTTCTTTTTTACTGAATGGTCTGCCATCTTCTAGAGAACACACTTTTATTAAATATGCAGACGGTCTCACTGTATGTATGCCGATTTCTACCTCTTTACATTCCATAGAAATGAATTGAAATTAGTCTCGTATTGAATGGAGGTCTTTTGTTAATGGTCTTATACTTAATCCGTCTAAATGTCAACGTTCAACTTTAGCCTGAGACGTGAAAACCAACTTAACACCATGTTGGGATCTCATAATGCCTGTGCCATTGGAGATTCTTTGGTAAATACAGTATGGAAGATCAGTTA